TTAATAATAACTCTGTGTTTAATGAAAATAATTCTAAAGGGTTTATTATAATTTTTTGATTAATAATTTCTAAATGAAATCCAAAAATCTATAAAACCAATTGTTTTTAATTGTTTTAGATGTTTTTTTATTACTCACCAATTTTAATATATGCTTATTAATTTTATTTCTTCTAAAAACTCCACTTAATCCCTCAGAGAGTTCATAACTTTTTCTTTGAATACTCACAACCGGAAATACCGTCCCCACCAAAGGAAAAAAATAAATAACCCTCGGAGGTATGTCAATAAATGTTAAATCTCCCTCAAGATACTTCGTTGAGTATTTATATAAATTCCATAAACATTTCAGATAAGCATAGATGATTGCTGTGCATAAATAAACCGATAAACACGATTCGGTTTGCTTTATTATCATAAATATTCGATTGTATTGACGTTTAAAGAATTTGATTTTTGTCGTAAACAAGAAGTTGTTTTCGACGTTTACAGCATGGTCAATGTTTTCGTTGATATTTTCAATAAACATACCACAAATTTGTAACAAAACCATCCATTTTACAACAATTAAGTTAATTAACGCAATTCCAATGTGTCTAAAAACATATAAAAGAAAATTTTTTGTATTTTCAAACTTATAATAACCCAATTTAACAATAATTAGTATTGTAATAATTATCAATTGTTTCAAAATAAATCTTTTTATTTTGTCATAAGATATCGTTAGGTTATTTAATTTAAAATCGTTATCGATTTTCCGTAAATTCAAATAAATGCGTTTTAACTTTTTTTCCATCCATATTTCGGACAGATAAACAATTATTGGAATCGCTAAATCAGAATACACGTGTAATTTTACCATAAAGGTAACCATTATGTTAGTTTTATTCACTCCAATTTTTAAATAATAAATATTTACGTAAAGCAACGTTATTTTTAGAAAGTACAAAACGTAGTTTAGTTTTTTAAACCGTTTTAAATAATCTGTATGGATTAAATAAAATTTTTCGTAAACAAATAATGGTTTTAAACTATTTAATAACATTTTTGTGTACGTTTTGAGCGATTTTATGAAGTATTGTGTGTTTTAGAACGATTGTTTTGTAATAACACTTTTTTATGTTGATTACAAATTGAATATTGTTTCACTAATGGAATTGAAAAAGTGATTGACTCATAAAGGTTTTGACATTTTCTTATTGATTTTATAATTTATTCAAGTGTTTATTTTAATGAAAAAGATCGTTTATTATCTATAAATAAAAACTACGAATATAAATTAGATTTTTTCATGAAAACGTGATTTATAGATAGATTTTTAGACAAAGAGAAGACTTGAAGTAATTTCATATCGTATAAGCTTAACCATTCGTGTTTGCACAAACTTATTTAAGATTTATTAGTAATTAAAATGAAACAGAAATAAGCCATGCGGAAGAGGGGGAAAGGTCTTTTATGTAGGTAAAATAAAGGCGCGACGTCCAGTCTGGAACACACATCTCTTGCAGCACGATCTTTTGCGATTGGACGAAACCCCCTCTCCCAGCATGGCTTATTTCTGTTTCTTATAAAAACTGCATTGATATCCTCCCAGTAGTTTTCGACGTAACCGCATCCTAAACCTACATCCTAAACTATACATAACCGCGATTTTCCGCGAAACTATATGGAATATCTAAAAAATAAAATATGCCCCTCATTAAGAACACATCAGGCTACTACCTGTTCAGATATACTTATTATACTTATAGGTACTTTTTTCATTTAACTCGCAATAAAAAGAAAATCGCGGTTCAGAAAATTTTTAAATTCAAATATGTTATGTAGAAATGTGTGTGAATCAGTGAATACAACAAACCTTACAGCAATTTTATACCATATGTTAGCTACAGGAAGTAGGACATCGGGTTCAATAGCGAAACTGCAAATTCACGCGATTTGATACTTGCCACGTCTATATAAGGCAACGATTTCAATTAATTTACTGTTGATATTTTACTAAAAACTCATTAGGCCTGATTTGGTTCAGGAGTTCTAGAGTTCCGAACAGTTCTGAACCTTTCTGCACATAAGTACATATAATATACAATATGCATCCACAGAAAGGTTCAGAACTGTTCGTTACTACAGAACTCTTGAACCAAACCAGGCCTATTGTGCCACTTCAATTTCTTTTTCAATTAACTTCTAAAAATGTTAGATGGTGCTCTTCCAACTGTTTGATGGAGTGCTTTCCTAGGCTTTATACCATTATGCAATATGGTCTTAAAAATTAACTGAAACTAGAATTAACACTAGACCTGGAAAGTTTCAGTTCTGAAGACGCACAGCTAAATATCTCCCAATCAAACAACGCCAAATATTATCTACGACATGTATTCTAGGTGTGGAAGTGGAGGATGCTTCATGCAGTCTTTTACTACCAACAAAATGGAAGAAGAGGAGTCTGATGGTTGGAATGGTTTTAGGACCATCTATGCCCTGTCATAGCAATCACATTCAACAACCAAAACTAAAACTACCAAAAAAAAATAAAGCTACTTGACATTTGTATATAAAATAAGCTGACTGAACATTCTTTACCTGGAACTAATTGACCGTAACGAACAAATCTGACCTGACAGAACATTCTTCCTTGGCATGATTGACATTTCAAAAGAAAAGTAACCTTACCTAACATATCTTTAACCCGGAACTAATTGACCTCACATAAGATTCGAGTAGTCTTTACTTTCAATGCAAATTACAATACACGGACCCGAACTATCCCCTTAAGCACCAGGAAATAGCGGAGTTTGAGAAGCAATATCAAGACTGTAATATATTTATGGGCTCCAAACAAAAATAAACGGTTTTCATACTGTAAAGTTTCTCCTCCACATGGTCTGGGTGGGTACATGTTGTAGACGTTAAGCGGAGAAGACGTTCAAAAATTTCAGTTAAAGTACACAGCACCCATAAAGAACGGGCTTACAGTTTGCATGTGTGCAAAAGAATAGTATATTAAAAAACAAGTTTCATAAGACACGTTTGAAATGCACGAATTCAAGTTGAAAAACGAGTGGCGAAGCCACGAGTTTTTTAATGAATGAGTGCTTTAAGTCTTATGAAACGTGTTTTTTATGCTATTTTTTGTAATTCGCGTTTTTATCCTTTTTTTTTCTCAAAAATAAAATAAATTTTGACAATGTAGGGAAATAGGTATGTAGCAGTTGGTATCAACGTAACACTTGAAAATAGAAATTTGAATGACAAATAGAAACTGTCAAAACACAAAACGTATTCACCTGATAAAAATGTTTCATGTACACCTCCCAAAATAAGAGAAATTGCTCAGAGTTCAATGTCCTCGTCATTGTGGACCTTGTATTCGATGTTAAGAACGTGTTTAAACATCCATAGGCAAACATTGTTACATTGACAACTAGAAAAATTAATGACCCAATGTCACCAACTTGAACTGATTCCATAAAATGTTACTAAAATCTCATTACAGCATCGGATGCTGTAAAGAGTGTCATTACAGCACCCGTTTGAGTACTGTAATAGCTTTCATTACCGTCGCGAATTACAAAAAAGTTTTTTATGCACTTGAGTTGAAAATTACCGATTGAACAATATTTACAAATTAGTGAAATCTGGAAAGAATCTAGAAGAAAAAAGAAGCAATAATCAAATCACTAACAAGTAAAACAAAGTAAAGGTTTCATTGAGTAGATCATTTTGGTGCACAATTATTATTAAATAACTGATTGATAAAAACAATATTGTAATTCAACATTTCAACGCAAATAAGACAGAAATGTTCCTTTTCAGCTTTTATCCATTTACATTTTTATTTATTGCTTTACCTTTCAATCTTTTTTATCTATCTTCGTATTCATGTCTTATTACTTCTCTCTTGGGTGAATCAGTATAAATCGTAAATTTTCTGAATTTTCGCATTTTCTTTGTTACTTCTCTCATAAAAGTTTTCGGGGTAGCCCTACTTCTACTGGTAAAAATACAACTGGAACGCTTGTAGATGGATGCAGCTTCTAAGAAGCTTTTCTCTTTAAGGTTTTTAGGCGGCGATGTCAATGAAGGACTTGGTAGTGTGCTAGTAGTTTCTTTGCTAATTAATATATCAGGAATAATTGGAATGTCATCTTATGGATTATGTCATCTGCTGAATTAATAGAACTGTAAGGTTGCGGATTTGTGCTCTTGGACTCAACTGTTGGTGGTAAGCTAAGAAGGATCATTGGAAATTTCAGCTGTTTTCATCTCTGGATTTGGTGTCTGTTATAAATGCCGGTGTAAAGTCAAGTTCGGTAAACAAATTTCAAACAAACAAAATTCAATCACCTCCTTATGTAACTCTTTATTATGTCATTCTCTTCACTTTCAACCACCTTCCAAATCCAAGCATTCACTGTAATGACACATACTATATTCTGGTGCATCTGGTTTTTTAGCTTGACATCGTCCTTCTCATTACAGCATATACACGTTTCTAGTTTATACACAAAGCTTTTTTGTCCTAATTGTAAACACACTCTTTTAGAACAGCTTTTATGGTTTTGAGAAAATGGGGTTTTTAAATTAAATAATACTCCTCTTAACAATTATTATATATATTTGTATTATATTTGAAAAAGATAAATTCTTTTAGTCTGAAATTGCAACATTGTTACTATTTAAATATTGATCTTTAATGATTCATTCAAAACTTTTCGATTTCAATCTTTATGTGCGGTGTTTTATTTCAATTTTAACCCTCGAGTGAAGTTCGTTTCTAAAATTGTTTCTTGTTGAAAACGTCAGTTGTTCGAAACAACTTGTTTCTCAGGTATCGATTTCGAAACTCATACATTTCAAAAAGTTTATGTTAAAGTAAATTCGAGTTGAAAATTAAGATCGTAAATAATACATTTTAAGGGTAAGCTGTGCGAAATGAACTTTTAGAAAGAATTATAGGTATTTGGGGAGTTAAATGTTGTTTTTTAAAAATCACTAATATTCTTTTTACAAAATTCTTTTATTATTAACACATTGTTTCACACATAATACACACTTCTAAAGAATTTGTTAATTATTTTTTTTAAACAATTTACATAATTCTACTACTTTAAAAACGTTATTTATTTACAAAGATAATTTAATTTTTGAGAGTCACTCTTCAGTCTGCTTTGATTTACTTTTAATTTTCTTTTTCACGCTTCTTCAAAATTTTTTTTTAATTTCAATGGGGATTTATGTTAAATCCTGTATAAATTCGAGATTCGGAATTGTCAGCCATTTCCAGTTTATCTTCTTTGGCGTAACCTATCTCATGGTATCTTACCGGATAAGTTAATTGGTTACCTTTGTCCCACGTGAGAAGCTCCTACAAATTTTAAAGCAACCCCATCAAGTTTTCGAGGTAAATTGAGTTATAAACGCGAATAGGGGAAGTGAACGAAGGAGGAACACGTCGTTGTAATTACATTTAAATTTAGCTTTAGAGACAGATGCTAAAGATGTGAAACGTCTATTAATGTTGAGAATTTAACGCGTTCATTGAGAATTTAAGGGAATTAAGGATGTTATTTTTAGATCTTCACTGACCTTTGATTTATCACATTAAACGAATAAAGTAGGAAAAATGATGTCACTACCATCTTTTTTTCTGTTTTTGAACTTTTCATAAATTCCTTACCTTATTTCTATGATTATATCCAACCATTGATGTGAATCTAAATGGATTTGTAAATTTTAAATCAACATCGAGCAATGTGTTTTTATACAAATCAAACGCAAATCTTATTTTTGATTCTCTGTCTTGAATACTGTCTATTGCGTATAAAACCCCACAAACGACGAACATATCTCCAACCCTTTGATGATTTAAACTGATGTTCCATATGTATTCGATTGATAAATTGTAAAGATTCATCTAAAAAATCGGAAAAGATAAGCATAAATTTATTGTTAATTTTGTAATAAGTATGAAAAAAATTAATTTATTGAATGCTAGTGATCGTAAAGCTGGGTAGTTTAAGATGGGTTTAAAGTTTTTAACGTTTTCTGAAGGTATTTTTGTGTTCGCAGAATGCGGGATGTAATAATTCTTTGAGTTTGCGAAATTTACTGCTGAGATATAGTTGGATTTATGGTGGTTTTATGAGATGTTAGACTATAATATGTGTGCCTTTGTAAAAATTTTTCACCATAAAATTTCTAAGAAAAAGAAATTATGAAAAATAATAGGTAGAAATGAAAAAACCTATGATTTTTATCATTTAAAGGCAAACATTTTCTTAATTACAACTATTATTTAGGATGAAAACGGAAATTTGGTGTGAAAGAGAATGTTTCTTTTTCTTTAATACTAACTACTACAGCAATTTGAGGCATAAGTTTCTCTTTTAACCCTGATCTTTTTGCTGCATCTTCGTACTTTTTATTTTCGTCTTTAATTTTGTTGGTCTTTTCTGGTCATTTTCGTCGAGCTGCTTTAATTAGAGAGACAGAGTCGAACCGCTTTGCCCTCGCTGGCAATTAAAAACACCTAATGAGCCCACGGTGGGAGCGTTGCAATTAATTTTTCAAAGTTAACGCTCACGCGGTCGAAATAGCCCTTAGCTTGTTATTAAGTGCGGACTTGGGAATTTTCGGTGCTGTGATGCTGTTGCAATTTCCGGGAACCATATGGGGCAATCTCATTACATATTGAAAAAAAAATTTTCCTTTTATACGCTGTTTATTTTTTAAAATATTTTCATGACTTAGATTTAGGTTAAAAAACTCTATAATGCACATGTTATCTTCATCGTTGAACTTTATCACTTATATAGTAGCATCTATAAAGTATTTAAATTGCTTACATTTCCCGGTAAATGTGCAATTAGCCGATTATGCACATTCTACGTAACATACACACGTGAAACGTTATCTCTATAATTACGTCATTTTTTACAGTACATAAATCATCTCAGCATTTTTTTTCTGGAAAATGTTAGTTGATTTCAGAAAACAATATACATTTTATAAGAACTCTAGGCAATACCGACAGAAAGCCTACAAATTTTCTCTGAGATTACGACAGGTATGCATGCTATAGCAGAATTTTGTACATATGTAGATTATAAGAAGTTAGAGAAGCAGTAAGTGCTCAAAAAAATGACAAAGCGATTGATGAAATTCTGGGGGACAATCACATAACAGAACACTTACACGAACTCATAACAAAGATATGGCAGGAAGAAAAAACTTACGGTCTTAAATGTCTCAACAAATGTCTTAATCATGTATGGTGAATATCAGGCAGGGTTTAAACTTGACAGGTTCACTATAGACGAGTAGATGATAGCATCGAGCCAGTTGAGTAATAGATGGAACCGAAAATAAAGACCCTTCACTTTGCTAATTAGACTTCAAAGGTTGCAATGGGCACGACGTGTTAAAGAAATGAATGGAGACTACCAAAGATAACTCTCAACTTTAGAATGTATGGGAAAAGGCCGGTGGGCAGACAACATTAAACAGATGGGGTTACATACGGAAGAGAAAAGAGGTGAGATCTCAATTTGACCTGTAGCGCAATAGGTAAGAAGGAAGTAATTAGGAGCAATACAAGGTTAGTTTAATCTCCATTAAAAGAGAAACCTTCATCCTCCATCAAAAGAGAAAATAAAGGGACATAGAGAGGTAGTACCGCTAAGAACATATTGTTGTGGTGATCGACCGATTTCTTATTATATAGTGGAATACAACGAAATTTAGTATGATTAATAGTGACAATTGAGTTCATAAAGTGGTGAAGAATGAAGAAATCAGAATGGCTATGATGCGTTAGCTAAAATTAATGCATGAACCTATCACATATGTAATTGTTGGTGATTTGTGAATGCGACATGCTTAAGTATTTTTATGTTTTCGATAATTGGACTGGGACCATTATCTTGTGCTGATTATGGTGATTTTTTTCTTTGATTGAGATGATTTGTATGAAATCGGTGTCCAGGAGATTATATTAGACTTTAAAAATAAAGATCAACTTAAAGAGAATTTTATTGCTCCAAACCGGATAATAGCTCTCCGATGTTATAAGTATATGGAGAGAATTTTTGGCTAAGTCAAGTCTTGTTTAGATCTCAACTTGGTATTAACATAGATATTGGGCTAAAATTTATTCCAGGTGCAGTATTACATTTTACACCACTCTTTCACACATATCATTGATAATTTTGTAACTTAGCATAATCCCATAAAAAGAAATCTAACTGCATTATATCGCATGAGCAAGGTGGCCACTTTTCGAGGTTACACGGTTACTACATATCAATGTGTTATCACTATCTTATTGGAACCATACATCACTGATATCAAGGCCATTTAATTCTAGGCAAAAATATTTTTCCAACTTTGTTGATCATAACATGGGCATCATTTTCATCAACGAAAATATATGGTTCGATCACATCATGATGATCCGTATGGGTTTCTTACTGTCCAATAATTTATATTTTGCTTATTAACAAATCCAAAATGAGCTTCATCTTGAAGATGACTTTTCAATGAATTTCAGGATTTTCTTCAAACTTTTGCAAAACACAACTTCAGAACTTTCGGCACTTTAAATGATCAAAAGGCTTCAGTTCTTGAGTTAATTTGATGTGTATGACGATGGTTATTCACTGAATTGTCGTGTAAGGTTTTAGACATGTCTGCATTTATAGAAGCTGTTGTAAGGTGTTGTTGTTTTTTAGCTGTTGTAAATTTGTTTATGTTGGTCATTATATACACTTTTTTAATCATTAATCATTTGTTAATTTTTGTAATTTTCTGTACTTAAAGTACACGATGATGTATCAAATTAAAATGGTAAAATTAGCTTGTTCTGAAAAATCTGGACAATAAGAATGGTAAGAAGACGGTGATGTATAAATATAGATAAATATAGATCTGTATTAGGTCGAACACAAAACAATGATTTATTCCTGACTTGTAAAATGCACCCTTAATCGCTAGATCTGGGGCCATCCTAACGATAGAAAGAGACAACTTAAGAATTAAGTAAGAAATATATAAACTTTCTTATTCTAAAGAAGCGAAATTATTAAAACCAATTTACCATAAACGATTTCCTTAGCGGAAGATTAATATACCAGACACAATTAATAATCGTTAGGATTAAGATACGCGAACTTAGTATAACAGGACCTAAATTGACAATCCACAAGAAAATAGTAATCATGATAATCCCTCTGAAGTAATGGATTTAGTTTAGATAAATATTCGTATTTAGTCATAAATTTCTACTGATTTATTAATTTAATTTATGCAGTTTCTGAATTAAACTGAATAAATTTTGTGATAATCCCATTTCATATAGGAAACTCTACAAATAATCTACAATTTCGATTCTAAAACGTGATTCAGGAACAATATCATTACAACAACAATAAACTTGTGCAGTTAAATTAAAGGGAAATTAATTATTTTGATAGTAAAGGCCGGAAGTAATTAGATATCGAACAAATTTGATCGTTTCGTGTAAATTGTAAACGTTTGATTGTTATCTGGGTATCATTCTCTATGTGGATAGGAACGCTCTGGGATATAGCAAACCTGTAATTCCAATAAACCCAATTAGTAGGCATCTAGTTGTTGATTAAAATTACAAGTGATCAGCAGCACGCAATAACGAAGCATTCAATTTTTAGTTGAAATTAAAGTTATTAATTCTTTTTGTGAGAGAAAAATATTATTGTTTTTTGTTCATTATTAGATTCCTACCTTCATAACAGCAGTATTATTGGAGTCTGGAACTCCGAAAATGACCCACAGGCCATTGTCGTCCACGCTAAAGTCCATGTAATTATGCTTCGCCGAGTACAAATAGTTGGAGGTGTTTGCCGTTAACAGAGGAACGTCCTTTGACTGCGTATTTCCGTCGGCTAGGTTCATTTTGACGACGTTCGGTGAGTTTTTGGCCGCGTAATAAAAGGAATTGTTGTGGACGACGTGTGCATTTCCTCTAAATGGGGGATGTAAATCGTGCTTTCTATAAGAAAAAAATTAGTACACAAATTGGAAGTTAGAAAAGATTTTGTTGGATTTTTATTAATCCTCATTATTTTTGCAGCATCAAAAGTTAATATAGATATAAAAGTTTGAAATAATTAAATAAAGTCCAGGAAGGCCAGCTATCCAATATTCATAGTTATGTTCTATACTTAGGTTCCAAAATCTTTGAGAGGTAACCTCGTCTTTGGTAACTTTTTAGACTAGCTGATTTAGTTGGAAACCATACAGGAAGCATTTACAAGGGGCCTACGTGGTGTTTGCTTTCCTTGTATACAACCACAAGCAAAATTGCTGTTCGAATTTTAATCAGCACCAATCACATAGAGCAAAACACGCAGTAGTTTTAAAAATGAATGATTATAAAGCAAAGTGATGGACAAAAAATGATGTAAATGTGAAAAAACGATTTTTTTTGAAATTTTTGTTGATTCAGAATGTTATATTTAATTAGAATTAGAATTTACAGGTTTGCAAAATCGCTTTTTTTAAATATTAAAGTGAAAATCAATTAATGCCAAACTGTGCCCAACTGTGTCGAAATGTGCCCAACTGTGTCGAAATGTGCCCAACTGTGTCGAAATGTGCCCAACTGATTCCAAGAGTGTCTAAATGTAATCAATTGATTCCAAATCTGTCTAAATGTGGCCAACTGATTCAAAATGTGTCTAAATGTGCTAGGCTCGGTTGCACATTCGTAAAAATTTTACGTTCCCATCTTTTTTTAGTTTTTTGTTTAAAAAGATTTTATTTTTTTAAAGTTATAAAAGATTCTTGTTGGATTTTTATTAATCCTCATTATTTTTGCAGCATCAAAAGTTAATATAGATATGAAAGTTTGATGAGATCCTAAATATTTTAATAAAAAAATTAAAAATAAATTCCCTAATTGGATTTTAATGAGTTTTGAATGTTTTAACCGGATGGTGATTCATTCATTTTTAAAGATGCTGTTTTGTTGAAATACGATGAAGCGTAAAAAAATTAAAAAGGGGAACGAAGAAATGGAATGGAAAATATTATCTGAGAATAGGAACTTATTTAGGATCGAATCGCGTCAGTACAGGGTCCGTTCGTGAAACGTTCCCATTGTTCTCTGGATGCAAATAGCGTCACAGGCAGTAAATTCTCTCTTCGCACCTATCGGAAAACCATTTGCATAACAATCGACCCGCGATGTCTTCAACTCTACATGCCAATTAAATCCTTCGCTGACGCACTAAGCGCTTTTGACGTCCCCTATTATACTATTGATTTTAATCAACCAAAAACAGAAAATGTTAAATTATTTTTAATCATGTTTTTAATTCACTACTTATTATTAGAGAAGCATCTATTTAAAAAAAAAGATAACTTTGAGTTCGTTTCATTTTGTGTAATGAGCTTTTGCTCATTCTTAATTTTGTCTGCCGAGTTATGTTTAATCCTACTCAAATCGAGATTGTACATCAAAGAATTGTTTTCTACTCAATTCGGAGTAAATTCAAACCAATTATTCTCGAAATCGATGCACTTTGAATTTTAACGGATTAATTCTGCTTCATTAAATCGATAACGTAGGCAATCCAAATAACTCTTCAATTAATTTCCCTAAAATTATTAATTTTTGATTGGAGTAATTTGAAATATTCTTTCTAACTTTTCCTAACTAAAATTTTAAAAACAACAACTGAGAGGCAAAAAAGGGCACTGTATTACGATCATTTTTTAATATGTGAAAAGTTGAAATTGTCTGCAAATCGACCAGTTTTGTGCAGCATATCATTTAATCGTATAACAATTGGTTATGGTTCGTATTGTAGTGGAACCGAGATGATACTGTGTCTAAGCCGTGAAGCGTCAAATCCCAGGTGTAGTATAATTATGCCATGAATGCTTCGCAAATAGGATTCTCGTTGACATGCAGACACAATGATGGCAAAACGGATTTAATGAACTTGATTAATTTGTTAACTGAATTTAAGAATAATGAAATTTGTGAAGAATATATTTCGTTATGTGATATCCTTCACACAACAGAACGTTACCAGAGGATCACGACATTCTTGCGATGTAGATTGTGAAGTCGGTAATTCAGATAGGAGAATGCTTCTGATGCCATGATTATGATACAGAACGAAATATAATCAATTAAACATTTTGTAGTCTATTCGGATCCCTATATAATATCATTGTGAAAAAGTGTTAGAAAGCCAGCGATCCAAACTTCATAGTTATGTTCTATACTTAGGTTTCAAAATCTCAGTATAGAGTCTTAGGAGATGAATAGCTAAGTATGAATGATGTCAGTAACACACCTTTGAGAGATAACCCCGCCTTTGGTAACTTCTTAGGCTGGCTGATTTAGCCGGTCACTATGCAGGAACTGCAAACTATGCCCAACTGATTCCAAGTATGTCTAATTATACCCAACTGATTCTAAGAGTGTCTAAATGTTTGTCTAAATGTGGCCAACTGATTGTGAGTCAAAGTACGTCTAAATATGACCAACTGATTCAAAGTGTTTTTAACTGTACTATGCTCGATCGCACATGTTTTTCGTTTTGTTATTGTAAAAGAATCGCAAGGAACCGAGGATCACGACGAACCCGCCCTATCAAAATTTTACGAAGGCAATCAACAATTATGCTTATAAACATCTTTATTATTATTATTATTACATTCTAAAAAGCTGCTATCATAATTTTATTGTCCTTTCATTTGATGTGTTATACGTCCGATCTCTACATGGTCGCACAAAATTAGTTTGTCTGTCCATGATTACAGCATGATACAGTATAACACCATTGGTGGAGAACTTGCGATCTTAATGTCATATACAGGTTTTTTAAATTTCTCATGTAGTGTACTTAAAATTTACATTAAAAGCTTCTAAAAAGCTGCTATCATAATTTTATTGTCCTTTCTTTTGATGTGTATACATCTGATGTCTACGTGGGCGCACAAAATTAAATAATTAGTTGTCCCATCATCTATGCAAATAGCAGCAAAGTTAACATGATTACACCATGAAACAGCATTTTCGAATAAACTAACTAGAATCTATTTTGCTCCATCATGTAAAACTGGAACTTTTGATGTCTAAACTATTCTCTTTTAATCTGTGAACTGTATCCTTTTGGAATCTTATTTTGTGATGGTGCAAATCGAAGGCTTGTACTTGGGATCATCACAACTAATTCAAGAATTTTTTTTCTGGTAATACATTTATTTATTACAATTTAAGCTGCATAACTTAAAGAAGTAATATATTGTTTTCTTGTAATTTGGTACTCGAGATTTTGAAAATAGTTTGTAAAAACCACATTGAAATACATTTTCCACTTGGATATAATATAACTTTTGACGGCTTAAGCGAGATTTTAACGACTAATATAAGCGTCCTAATTTTGTAAAGGTGTCAAAACGGGGCTTTATAACGGAGATAAGACCTTAATCCGGAACTCCTTTGTCGTTGAATGGAAACCGGGGAGAAAGCAGTAGGAGAGACCGTATCGACCTTATTTTACGGTGGGAAATTGTAATTGGCTCGGAATTATCCTTTTTGGAGCTCTCTACTTTTCTCTGTTATATCGTTTCGACACCTGATATAAGCTCCATGTAATCCTAGTATTTTTGTGGGTGGTTTAGAAAATTGAATTTATTTTTAAAAAATCACAAAAAAACTTACTTTGATGGAGAATCTTTTCTGAATTCTCCTTTATTTTTAAATTCCTTCAAGTGACTTGAATCGTATTCGCTTGTTGACCAATATTTTTCACTATCACCATCTTGAGTTGCATCTTTCATCCAAGATCCGAAAGTTTGATTTGTGAATCGATGATAAACCGGTTTTCCAATTGCGTATAATACACAATCGGTAGATCGATTTTTTGGTATCGAGTAATTTTCGAAACCAACATATGGCCTGACATCCCATTTTTCGATTAAATCCAGTAATGAAACTCCTGTTTCTTTGCACACTTTAGGATTCACACAAATGTCACAATGAGGGTCTGGACAACGATGCTCTATTGCGGTTCTATTAGGTGGTGCAGGACCAACTGCTGATGATTCCATAGGTCTAGCTTTCGACCCAGGTTTTAATTCTAAAAAAAAATGAAAGTGTAATTCATAAAATGAGTTAAAAATATCATTTACCGTAGACTTCTAAACTATTTTTGGTTGGCAAAAAATCCAAATGATTTTTTGCACCACAATAATACGTCGTTATATCGTAGATATCAACATTCGTTATGTTCAATTGCATCAAATACTTGTATCGTTCTTGTTTAACCGTATCATTAATTTTGTATTTGTCTCCATGTTCGAGAAGTTTTCCATCTGCTCGTTCCCAAAATCGTATAGGTTCGGGAAAACCTTCAACTTCGCATTCTAAAACTGCCGTCACACCATATGAAACCCCTATTTGGTTATTATATATTGATATTCTTGGTTTAACTAAAAAAATATATTATTATTTTTTTTGTTTAATGGCATTATTGTGTCGACAATTAAATCTAATCTTATAGACTTAAAACTATATACTTATAGCCTTTTTCTCATGCACTGTGGTCTGCTTGTATACATAACACATTACACAATCACATAGTTTTCTTCTCTTCAGTCTTCGGACGTGGTGTTGGTTGTTCAGATAATTCCGCTCTTTCTACCTCAGTTTGGTAGCCAGATAAAGTACTTTTAAGTCTGAATATTCATCTTCTTATCAACAGAGGAGAATCTTACGTGTTTACTTTATGCATCAAGCCTTCCTGTCGAAATTTATCAAAGGCTTGTGCGACAACTAGGAAGACTGCCAAGCAGACTTTCTTTTCTTCCAAGACCCGTTTAATGGTGTCGATTATTTTATACAGTTGGTGTATTGTTGAGTGCTTTTGCCTGAATTCCAATTAATTACCTAGGATTATGTAATTAGTTGCTATTATTGTGTTCAGTCTTTGTTTGTGCAATAGTCTCAAAAGTGTTCGAGAACTATTGGTAATAGTGAAATTGTTGTATAAGATTTAATATGGTTAAGTTGTTTTTCTGGCTTTGCCAAGATGATAACCTCTTTTCATCATACCGAAATATGTTTTAATCTAAGAATTGTGTCGAAGTGGTAGGTCAGCATGAGTACACATTTTCTATGCTGCCGAGTCTAGGACCTCTCTTTGGATTCAGGTTAGCCTTTATTTCATTTACTACTTCTTTAGGAGTAACCGGTGTAATATTTTTTGTTTTCAATACTGGTCTTTACAGGTCAGCAACAGTTGTCGTTAACCTTATCGCATATGTTTACGTCGACACAAAAAATGGTCTCGTTAATTCCAGCTGCCCAACACGGTCGTCCACACTCACTCGCTCCATAATGGCAAATATACATTATTAAATTAATTAAAAAATTAAAACTTACAGTTAACTTCTAATAAAAACGTTTGGTTTACTTGAGGTGGCACTCCATTATCTGCTATACATTCATATAAACCCATATGAATTCTACTCACAAATGTGATGTTTAAAGAGTGACCAGAAACTGAAGCATCTTAAAGGAAAAAACTTATTTTTATATTTAAAAGAAATCAAAATTTAAATTAATTTAACCTTCCCAAGGTCCACTTTTTATGGGTAAATGATCTAATCGTCTCCATTCAACGTGTGGTCTTGGTGATCCTGAAGCTGCACAACTCAAAGTGATATTATCACCTTCTTCAACGATTATAGGACCAATTGGTTTACCAGTTGAAAAATTGCCTGCAAGTTTTTTTTTGTAATTGTTTACAAAAACCTATTTATCACCTTTTTTTTTGTACAGAAACGTTTTGAACAGGCGAAAACGTGTTTTTTTCGTTCGGTAATTTTCGCGTCATCGTTGAAACCGTCTAGATGGAATAAAATTGCAAAATTCGAACGGATTTCGAGTTGGGGTGTACGGTGAAAAACAACTCCGCCGCATGATTGATGTCGGGAATTACACGGATTTATTTCCGTTTTAAACCCGGGATTGCAACAAAACCTCGCGTTCGAAATATCGTTGAATATTTACAAAAAAAAAAAAATTAGCGAGAGGTGCAGCAAATATGGAAATTTGAGTGTTACTGAAAATGAATGACACTTAAAAAAAACCATCAAAATAGCGGAAAAATAAAACCGTTTACATACTCATTAAAAAATTTTTTCGCTTAAATTGACAGTTAAAATCCACAAAACGTATAATGAAAATTTAAAATCTTTTTTATTAAAAATATTGTGTTCTTACCTGTTGCTATGGAAGGTGGAATAAGTAATTTTGAATCGTTTCCATATCTCCAGGCGTTAATACCGGGAATACCAGGGGTCCCATCTTTGCCGCTGCGCCCGGGTCGTCCTCGAGGCCCTGAGAGTCCTAAAGGTAAAACTGGGTTTAATAATAAATTACGTTTGAGATAAAATATCATCCCTCCGGACTGGACCCATTTCCTTTCTCGATCCTTTCCCATTTGTACTCGTCTCGGGGAAAAGTAAAAGGAGTCTTCAAGAGGATATTCTCAACGACCATGATTAGATACATTGTAGTATAAAGGTATATAGGAAGATTCACTTCAAACTTTATTACCTCCATTATAAACTTTAAAAGCTTTTTATTAAAATTTTGTTATAGTAAAAACTCGATATAACGGACCTCTTTAGAACGGACTTCGGATATAACGGACAAAATATTCAGAATCTTTCTAGTTCTAAGTCTAGTGTTAGTTCTAATGCTAGTGTTAGTTCCAGATTTGGTTGTTATTCAACGTTGGATTGTTGTATATTTTTATTGAATTAAAAATGGAACTAACACTAGACCAAGAACTTGAAACATTCGGGTTTGGCCGTCTTAAGAGACGCACGGCTAAACTCAATCAACATCTTCATTTTCTATTATGAACCTTAAGTCTCAATCTAACAACATTACAAAACACGAATTTGATAAATTAAGCAAGTGCTAATTCAAAGTGGTAAATGGTAGTTGCTTACCTATGGGTGACGTCACGAACGGGCCTTCGAGCTGAGCACTTATTGGCTGGATATGGAAACAGATACTCCTTTCCCCGTGTTAGTCTATTATATCGAGATTTTACTGTATTATGTTTATTAGGGATTTTTGTAATTGTGTTTTAAATGTTAAGTATAAGATTTAATAAAAAACTTGAAGTGTAAAGATAAAGTTTAATGAAAAGAAAAGACTTTTTTCTTTGAAAATAACTTAATCCCTTCCACTTTTTAAGTTTTAACTTACAGTTCGTTGAGTAGAGGGATGATAAACCTTAAGAAAAAGGGACAAAACGGTTAAAAGGAATAGTGAAACGGACGAGTACGAGGTGAAATTTTTTGGGCTGTGAAATTTATCTTTTCGTATGAAAAGATTTTTAGGAAAAAAAAGGAACAAATCTTACTTTTATTCATATAAAGATGTAAAAAGTATTTCACGCATTTTGTTAGGTTATAAAAAGATAATTTAATGCTCGATTAAATCGGTTTCGGAAAAGTTTTCGCCGTCAATTTTCCGCTTGTCCATTTAGAAAATTTAGAATTCAGACGCCATCAAAACTTCTCCTTTCTTCGGTGATCTTCTAACGTTCTGAGATTCAAACCCCCCTTCATGGCTCGTTATTTTTCAATTCGCCTTCAATTCCTCGCGACTTGCTCCCGACGACTTTCGCGAAACTTTCCCAGTAGTAAATTTTGTGACCTCCCCCTTGAATGTGCCAACTTGGTCTAATACGTGTTATCACTCACGAGCAACTACCTCCTCCAAGCTTATTCCCTCGAGAACTTGTAAAATGTTCAACTCCAATTTTCACACACACACACATTTCATGAGATTAAATTCCTTTTTAAAGTTAATTACCTTTTGATCCTGGTGGTCCGGGTGGACCTTGAGGTCCTGGCAATCCAGGTCGACCTAAAAAGAATAAAAATAACAAGAAATTCTACGAATATATCGTATCTCTATAACAGTTTGTTGTGTAAAGTTGTGATTTAAGGTTGCGGAAAGGTTCTTTAACGTAGAAATGGTTTTGAATTTAGATTGGTCCAATAAACGGTTTTCGAGTTTTAGTGGATACTGTGGGTGTCTAGCGCACGAAGGGCGATAAATCTAAGGGCTACAGGCTATTTGCTACACTTGCGATTAATAGTACATAAACGGGGCACGGCGTTTGGTTCGAAATATACATAAATGAAACGGCGATTTACTGCCGTAACGATCGTAAATCGTCGGGCATCGCGATAAATTTTAGCTCGGAGTGCGAATGATCTGAATCCAATTGCTGATTAAAATCGGGAATAGAAGGAGTAATTGATTCAAATTACCTTTTCAGTTTCAAATTCTTTCATTTATACTTTTTTATTCAGCAACCCAAACTTTAAATTACACACTTATTACACACAATTTATGTCAAACATTAACTTGCATTCACGTTAAAGACATTAGGGATATCATGACTGGACGAGACAAGCGAGTGAATTGTATCGCAAGCAATTGCTTCGCCTACGGCTGCTTCGGGCAGTTAGAACACACGATAATGAGGTTAATTCAGTATGGGGGCATTATGCTTCGCGAGCAACCACCATGCTGATAATAATCCCATGGTTGTGCAAGTGTTGCATATTTTTCTGCCTGATCAAATAAAACAACTCTGCATTATCAAGACGAAAGAAGCACACCTATTGTTTTTCTGAAATGCATGTCACAACCAAGAGCACCAATAAATAGATATGAGGCAAAAAATATGGTGTCTAAAGATCGAATTGAGATATAAATACCCGTAAATGATGTCTTAATTTTCGTATGCCTTAACGTTATGATTTTAAGCCCATCTCTGCATGCTATTATTAGAAACTATAAAAATAGAAATTAAAAATAATCGTATCTCAAGAACGAAATGAGATATAACTATGAAATAGGAATCATTTTAAAGTGATGGCAATAAAGATTTTCTTTGCCATAGATTATATCTCATATTTAGCATACCTGGAAGTTATGATCTTTTAAAGCAGACTCTGTATGCCTGATTGTTATAGACTTTAAGTACAAAAATGTAGGTGATGGTATCTCAAGAACGCATTGAGATATAATGATGAAATAAAAATCATTTTAAAGTAAGTTTAAAGAAGATTTAGTGTGCCATAAAGAATTTCTTATTTTTTATGAACCTCGATGTTATGATGTTTTAAGATCATCTCTGCAAGCTTGGTTGTTATAGACTCTAAATTAGAAATAAAAAAACGTATCTCAAGAACGAATTGAGATATAACTATGAAATAAAAATCATTTTAAAGTTAGTTTAATGAAGAATTAATGTGCCATAAAGAATTTCTTATTTTTCATGAACCTAGATGTTATGATGTTTTAAGATCATCTCTGCAAGCTTGGTTGTTATAGACTCTAGATTAGAAATAAAAAAACGTATCTCAAGAACGAATTGAGATATAACTATGAAACATAAATCATTTTAAAGTAAATTTAATGAAGCTTCACTGTGCCATAAATTAATTCTTGTTTTGAATATACCTCGAAGTTATGATATCTTAAACTCGACTCTGCATGTTTTGATCGTTATAGGCTTTAGCAACAAAAATTTAAAAGATGGTATCTCAAGAACGAATTGAGATATAATGATGAAATAAAAAACATTTTAAAGTAAGTTTAATGAAGATTTACTGTGCCATAAATTATGTCTTAATTTAATTATATCCCGATGTTATGATATCTTTAATTCGACTCTGCATGTTTTGATCGTTATTGGATTAGCAGCAGAAATTTAAATGGTGACATCTCAAGAACGAATTGAGATGTAAAGATGAAATAAAAAACATTTTAAAGCAAGTTTAATGAAGACTTAATGTACCGTAACCATATCTTGAACTTACATAGTATTCTCGCGAACGCGAATTAATATTTTATCCTTATCGGAACGATAATGGTTTTTTGGTCGACCTCCTTCGTGCTTAAGACGAAATGTGCCACTTTCGGTTAGGCGGTGAGACACACTGATGATTTCGCTGCCTTCTGTTCGAGCAAGATATCTTTAAAAGATAGCTTCGATATACTTTTTACTCGCTTTTAGTTATCGAAAATCGGTCCGATAACGTTCGTAGCTTTAACTTTTTATTAGTTAGTTAATAATAAGTTAAAACTATGGATGTTGATAGAGCCCAGTCAATACTGTTGTTTTAACACCATAATTATCGGATTCATCCAATAATATTTGAGCGTAAACAATTTTCAAATACATTCCTAAAATAAAATTAAAAATTTACCATCCGTTCCATTTCTCCCATTTACTCCGGAATTTCCCGGTTTTCCATCTATCCCAGGAAGACCATCATGTCCATTTCTACCAGGCATCCCATCAAAACCCGGCTCACCTGGAATCCCATCTCTTCCATCTAAACCGGGTCTTCCTTGATCACCTTTAATACCTGGAAGACCACGTTCACCTAGAAAAAACATCAAAAAGATTTACATAATAAGAGGTAGTATATTAAGTAGAAATTGATATAAAATAAAAAAAAAGTTTTGTAAATCCCATGAATAGTGTGGAAGCTTTCAATCAATGTCATCTTTGTTTTCAACCTCTTCCAGTCCCCACTACTAGATAGATGAGCATTCCAACCGATTTGTGGTAAACAATAACTCGTGAAGGGTTCGTAGGGACCTGTCGTGTTATACCCGTTGTTATTCTGCTACATAGACACAACGTGAGCATTTGAAATGGTTTCGAAAGGTTCGAGATGCGTTAGAAATACGTCGAGATGTCGAATAAATCACCAGTTAGAATAGTACTACTGTAGAAATGAAGTAGATGGTAATGTATTGACTTCAAAATCAATATTAATAAAGATTTTCTGAAAATAGTAGATAAAATTTCTTAAAATATTAATTTGGATGATTAAAATTTTTGAAAGTATTCATGTGCATCTTACATGAATACTTTCAAAATACTGATGGTGTCGTAAAACCTTTTGACCAAGTTTTGCGAGCAATTATCGAATACAAAAGAAACTGGGTTGGTTTTAAAAAGGAAAGGAAGAAAAAAGAAATAAGGGTGAACGCAAGAAAAGAAGGAATAAAGAATGGGAAGGTGAAAACTGAATAGAAAGTGTGGGCGAATTTGTGTTACCTCGGGGTCCTATTGGACCTGGAATTCCTGGATATCCCGTTTCGCCTTTTTCTCCTTTAGGACCTGGCCTTGGGGACGGACAGTAATTTTTCGCTGCTAAGCAAAACGTTTGCATATCGGCATGCTGAAAATAAAAGAGAAAAATATAAAACAAACATCATTAAAACTCGTTAAAAATACGAACAAAAAAGGAATCTTATTTTTTGTAATAACGAAGGTAATTTCTTATATAAGTGTTTTATTGTTATTGCCTTTGCAAAATAAATTTTTTTTTGTTTCTAACGAATCCAATTAGTCACCTGAACGCGTCGAAGAAGTCAATTTCTTGTTACTTTTAACGAAAAGATCTCTTTGTTAACTGTCTAACATGGCGTGGGTGTCTTATGGACCTCCGGGTTGTTATCTCCAAGTTTGCGATAGCTTCACCCAGTTCGAAGCTAACCTCTCGACAAGAACGTTAATTGCCAAACTTTGAATAGGCCAGTAGCTTTCCCTCCGTCGGCGTTTTTTTTCCTTAGTGGGACGCAAGAAACCTAACACCCAACGATAACTGACAGAGTTTATTTCCTGACATCAATTAAACTCTAATCAAACTATTTATAAATTAAATTAACCATTCCAAATTAAGTTTTGAGATAAATCCAAAAAGAGTCGAATTAGTGATGATTTAGATTAGATTTTCTGATTAGATTTCGATTAATCTTAGTCTTTCTTTTCTTCTATAAATTCTTGTTTGTTATTTTTGTTTCTTTTTTCGGTTCATTTATTTGTTGTGGCCGAAGGTTGAGTGTAAGTAAGTAGAAATGAATGTAGACACTCTAGAGAAATAAAGGAAGAGAAAATTGTTTCTACCTCAATCTTATTTACGTTATCTTTTTTCGCTAAGTCTAACCAATACAAAATATTGGATTTATTGGATATAGACAGAACCTAAACAAATATGTGTTACGTAATTTACCTTCGTCTTTGCTGTGGGGAAAATTAAATTTGTTTTGTAAGATTAGTAAAAATCCAGCTAATCTTTTTAGACTGTTAAAGTTTGTGTTTTGATTTACAATACTTTTCTATGCATATTTCCTACAGCTCTAATCATGTATAGTTAATAAATTCTACATAGCTTCGAAATTGTTATGAAACCTTCAAAGAACAAAATGGACAGATATTCCGGTTATGATCACGGCAAAGGAAATTGGAATATGAGACAGGAACATGAAATCTGAGTACATTGAATAAACTAGTAGCATAAATGGCACTTCTTGAAGTTCTATAGAGGTATAATATGGCAATAACAGCAGTTCAGGAAACAAAATGGATTGAAGAAGGTACTAAAACATATACCATACTATATAGCAATAAGGAAGGTGCATAGCATTTATTGTGGATATCAAAATCAAAAACTGGATTTTAGAATTCCACTCAATAAGCGAAATAATTTATGTACTATAAGTTAAAACACAATTTTTTAATCTAATAATAATTAATGTACATTGTCTAAGTGAAGAAAAAGATCTAGAAATAAAAGAAACATTCTACCAACAAGTAGAATTAGTGACTTCATTTAAAGATGATATCAAAATAATCATTGGAAGTATGAGTGCAAAAATCAACAAGAAAGATGGATGTTTAGAAACAATAGGAAGACAGAGCCTCCATGGCAAAACTAGTAAATGCTGTGAATCCTTATTAGCTTTTGCCACAGAAATATGGTTGTAGGAATACGGTTGTAAGTTCAATGCTATTTGCACATCAGAACTGCAGAGTATCGAATCAGTGATGACTAAAGTGTGGAAACAGTAAATGAGGAAGAGTACTTAGAAAATACCATTACCATTATGCAGTAGCATTACCATGTAATAACTACATTAAAAAATGGAAAAGCATCAAAGATTTTATCATAATTTTTTAGTTGGATAGAAAATAAGAGATTATGCGTGTATACGCCTTGTATGTCTATAACTTCTACATACAGCCAGACGCAAGCTTTTCATTTGAGATATATAACATTAAAATCGGTCACACCGTTCTTTAGTTATAGCGAATTTAATCAAAATTAATTTTTTCGTATTGGGAGCTAGACTTCCAGTCGGTAGGTACTTGGAGTCGTTTAAATAACCGTACGCAGGTAATTAGTAAATTTTGAAATCGGGCATTTCCAGGCCGGTGTTAATTAAACCAAAACTAGTACTAATAGTAGCACTATCATTAGAACTAACACTAGACCTAGAACTAGAAACATTCAGGTTAAGCCATGCGTCTTTTGAAAAAGTGTTTGACACACTTCGAAGTGACTTAACAGAAACACTTCGAATTTATTTCTGAAGAAGGTTGCAACATGGCATCTGAAACCTCAAACACTTTTTCAAAAGGCGCACAGCTTAACCCGAAAATTTCTAGTTCTAGGGCTAGTGTTAGTTCTAGTCATAGTGTTACTATTAGTTCTAGTTTTAGTTTAAAAAAGAATTACATTGAATACATTTTGGAACATTCTAAGATGGGAATAATAAATTTTTTTTTTCTTAAATCAGTCCTATACTTTCGATATTAAAAAAGCACTGTCATTTTTTACTAAAGTAGTGTCTGTTTTGATATAAACTAACTATAAATTCAAAATAATTTTATTTTTGGTTTTATGTAGTTCTAAAATTATGCTTTGAACACAGAAATTCTGGTGTTGCAATACAAAAAAAACTGAATTGATAGGGTTTTAATAACGCAACTGGTTACGTATTCTCTTTAAATTCTTCAGTCGGACGGAAATGTATTTACCAGAAACGCGCTGAAATACAACCCTCTTTGTAGATATCCCCCCAGACATCAAGCTCCGAACTGAATTTCAAGCTAACCTTATTTCTATGCAGTGCCATTTCCACCTGGGAGAGTTATTCCTCCGGCAATATATGCCAATAGCGTTTCGTTCGTAAATGTATATGCGCTCGTTTTCTACGTCTGCATGTGTGGGTACACCGTTTTTCCCTAAATTTAACATTTTTTACGTTAAAGAGTTAAAAAGTTAAAGTTTTATTAAAAAAATACCATTTAATAATAACTTTTTGAAGTATAACTACATAGGAAATTAATAATGAGTGAAAGAGAATTGGAGAGAGGGACTTGAGCTTTAATATCTGACCGCCCACCACCAATTTCTCTTGATAAGGGTCGAATTAAATTCGCCCCAACCCCTATATTTAACTGCTGCTCGACGGCCATTGATCTAATGACGGGCAGTAATGGCTATTTCTGTCCTAGATTCACAACTCCAATTTGAAATTAGGTTATTGAAAATCAAAAAAAGATTAACGAGCCATTTATCATACTTATGACTGTTGAAAAGCGTAAAAGAAAAGAAACATTTTTCAAACTAATCTAATTATTTAAATAAAAATATAGAGATATTTCCTACTTGGTTGTCGCGTTTTCTTTTACATTTTTGTGTTTTGGAGGAACTCCAAACGACTTAATCTAGGTCACGTCGTTGCTATTAACGATGATAAAGAGTTTTGTCGAGATATTCTTTTGAGTTTAGTAAATAAATTTTTTAAAAGCTAAAAACGACGTTTTTTCTTAAAATAGTCGAAGATTCTATTTTCTTTTCCAATTTTGAATTATTTGAAATATCTAGCCCTTTTAAATTAATTTTAAGTAGGTCCTTTGTTTTCTTAACGAACAAAGAAAAGTTCTATTGAAATTCTCGACCACAAATTGATGGATTATTATTAACTTAGCACTTAACCCAATTGCTAGAAGTAGGTATTATTTTTAATGGATTTTCTCAAACCTGTAAGTTTTCTCTTGACTTTAAGACGAGATTAATAATTTACATCTAAATTTTTAAAGCAAACGAAAAAGAACAAAAAAACAGATTTAAATGAAGTAAAAACTTTATCGGGTTCATTTCAATCATTAAAATCCCATACAGTAAAACACACCAAACAACTCCATACCTACTCATTTTACAACTTAGTTTACGTCTGTTTTCGTGCTTCGAAGTACTTTACGATTTTAGCACGGTCGTTGTCCTGCTTATCTTCGTCTCTCTCATCAGGTTTATTAAGCTAAAAACTCTGGTGGAAAACCGTCAAAGTTACGAGCATAGGACGATGACGACTAAAGCTCAACGAAGAAGTTTTCACGACGAGCTTTAGACTACTATAATCATCATCATCATCATCATTTTCATCGTCGTCGTCAATCTTTTGTGGGTTGAAAATCTTTAATAGCTTGGCGCTCTGTGCATAATATTGCTGCAGCTTGGTGCTATAATTTATTGCTTGGACATGGATATGGTGTATTATTGACAATATCCCTCCATAACGGTTTAACGTTGTAATGTATCGTATGTGCACGAGATATTTAATAGCGGTCGTAATTTTGGGCATTCTGGTCAGAATAAAGAAATTTTAGATGTGTAATTTTGTTAATTTAATAAACATTAGTTTTAATTAAATGTTCCTCTTGATGGATCATAAATATTAAACTATTTTTAGTTTAACAACTTTTATTTTTTGTTGTTTTAATACATAAAGCTTCTGGGTCATAAAATTTAAAAGTGCACATATTTAAAATTTCGCACAATCCCATTTAAGCGTTCCAAAGCGTACACTTTTCAACGACCCGCCAGACTAAAGCTAATTTATAGTTCAAACACATAAACACACAAAAAATAATCCAACAAACGTATAGAAGAGAACAATGCTACCTCATTTTTCTTGTTTTCTCTACTTCGACTATTCTCATTTTCATCCCCTCAGTCTCATTCGAGACGTCGCGGTTTTTAATTATATTTTTTAATTAGAAACCTCTTTTATTATTCTCTCACTTCAACGAACACGAATTTCTCAGTTTCTTTTCAAAAAGTTTCCTTTACACTTATTATAATTCACAGTAACATCCGCAAAATTTTTCTTAACTCACATCACGTCGTTTTACAATTCATCTTCATCGGCAATTTTCCAAGCTTTCTCTTCATCATTATCTTGTCCGTCTTCGACGTAACTTTACGTGGTCGGTGTTTAAGGTTATGTAGTGGAAGGTAATATGTAATAGCAGGTGCAGCAGTAGTGTTTGCGAATCAGATAACTTTACCGATTAGGTGTTCGTTGCTGAACCGAGTTTAATCTCGATTAC